GCTGAATCCTCTACTTGCAAGCAAGGGGAGAGAAGTCTCTCAGTGTACTACTCAGATTTGACATCAATCTGTAAAGAACTGGATCACTATCAAAATGTGAATTAGAAGTGTGATGAAGATGCAAGGGCATACAAGTCACTTGTTTCTCAACAATGGGTATTTGCTTTTCTTTTGGGGTTGAACCCTTCATATGAGTCTATTAGGGTGCAGATCTTGGGAAGTAAAGACTTACCATCAGTTCAAGAGTTTTATGCCTTAGTTCAGTCAGAAGAGAGTAGAAGAAGTGTGATGAATTGTGCAGGGGGGAGCCAGTTGCTCTAGCTGTCTGAGGAGGTATAGATTCAAATGTCAGAGGCTCCTTTAAGAAGGATGATTCTCAGAAGAGAGTGGGTGACAAGAGTAAACTTTGGTGCACTCACTGTCAGAAGACCAGACACACTAGATAGAGATACATGATGGGACTCCATGGGAAACCTAAATGGGCACATGAATTGAGTAAGAAGTCAACAACTGATCAGAGTAAGAAATCAATCCAGCAGAATAAAAAAAATATATAACTCAAGAGAGGCACCCTAGTTCTGACCCCAAGGAAGAGATTATCAACTCCTTTTGTGACCATTTGGAGTTATATGGTAGGTCACTTCGCCAGATGGACTTTAGTCCTACTCCTACCTCCTTTGCGTCTACATCAGGTAACACTGCCACTGCTTTCCATGTGTCATCTCATACATTTGATTCCCCTTGGATAATTGACTATGGAGACTCAACCACATGATTGGTAAGTCAAATTTATTTCAGGCATATAACCTCCTCTCTGGAAGAGATAAGGTGAGACTGGTTGATGGTTCATTCTCCACTATAGCCGACCAAGGAACCATATCTCTTCCATTCGGCCTTACCCTCTCTAATGTGTTGCATGTTCCTAAATTACCTATAAATTTGCTTTCCATTAACAGTATTACTCACTCGAATTGCTCAGTTACTTTCTTTCCTTCTTCATGTGTGTTTCAGGATTTGGCCTTGGGGAAGACGATTGGTAGAGGAAGCATGGTGGATGGCCTTTATGTGTTGGAGAATAAAGCTGGTCTTGTGGCTACAGAGTCCTTAAGTTCTTCTAGTGAGAGTCAAGTCCACTTATGGCATAGTCGTCTTGGTCATCTTTCTTTTGAATCATTGAAAGTTATGTTTTTAGAATTATTTAAGTCTTTGTCAGCTAGTGAGTTGTAGTGTCAGACATGTCAATTGAGCAAATGTTATAGAAGTTCTTTTCCTTTAAGAAATAAAAGATCTGAATTTTCGTTTCATATTGTCTATTCTGATGTTGGGGGCCTGTTACTCTATCTATTGAGGTTGGACATAAGTATTTCATTACTTTGATTGATGACTACTCTAGATATACTTGGGTTTATCCTATGTGATTTAGAGATGAAGTGCCAAAGATTGTGAAAGACTTTCAACGCATGATTTTCACTCAGCTTCAAACTAAAATTCATATTTTCCAGTCGGACAGTGCAAAAGAGTACTTTCATAATGATCTCATGGAGTTCTTTGCTTCATGTGGATCTCTTCATCGAAGCTCTTGTGCTAGGACACCCCAGCAAAATGGTGTTGCTGAAAGGAAAAATCGTCATCTTCTCGTAGCTCATGGTTTATTACTCCATATGAATGTTTCAAAACGCTTTTGGATGGATGCAGTTCTATGTGCTACATATATCATTAACCATATGCCATCTCGGTTACTAGAGTATAAGGCCCTACATCAACTTTTGTTTCCTACAACTCTGTTGTCCCCCATTCCAATGCTTGTTTTTGGGTGTCGTTGCTTTGTTCATGACTTGTCCCCTAGTCGCGGTAAACTCGATCCTTGTGCTATTCCTTGTGTTTTTGTTGGTTACCCTTTATCTCAAAAGGGTTATCGTTGCTATGATCCCACCTCAAGCAAGTACTATGTGTCCATGGATGTATCCGTCTTTGAGAGTCAATCTTTCTTCTCAGTTTCTCCTCAAGGGGAGAGTAGGGTTGTGGAGAAACACACCTAGGCTCAGACTCAATTACCTCATCTTCTTGATCCTCCTCCATTTCATGTCTTTTTTTGCCGCCATAAGAGCCAATAGAGTTTAAGAGTCGTGGAACCTGAAATTGTGCAACCAACATTATTGAATTCTCCAGAGGTAGATCCTCCTCATCATCCAGGTACACTTGTTCCCATTGATATGCTTGAACCTCTTAATATTGATCCCCCTATCATTAATGATCTTGATGTTCCTATTGCTAAGAGAGGGTGTTAGATCTTGTACTACTAATCATCCTATCTCTCACTTTGTGTCGTATGACCATATTTCACTTCATGTTGTGCATTCCTTTCTTCCGTTGATAGTGTCTCTATTTCTAGGAATGTGGCAAAAGCTTTATCCAAACTTGAATGGACAAATGCAATGAAGGAAGAAATTGATGCATTGCACAAAAATGGCACTTGGGAGTTAGTGGATCTTCCTAAAGGGAAGGAACCAGTGGGATGCAAGTGGGTGTTCATAGTGAAGCATAAGGCTGATGGAACAGTTGAAAGGTACAAGGCTAGATTTGTGGCAAAAGGGTTTACACAGGTATATGGAGTAGACTGTGTAGAGACATTTGCTTTAGTGGCTAAGATGAACTCTATTAGGATTCTTCTTTCATTGGCAACAAATCTTGACTGGGAACTTCACCAGTTAGACATTAAAAATGCTTTCTTGAATGGTGACTTAGAAGAGGAAGTGTACATGACTCAACCTCAAGGTATTTGCACCAAAGGTAGTGAGCAGAAGGTGTGCAGGTTAAAAAATCATTATATGGGTTGAAACGATCACCTCGGGCTTGTTTTAGTAGTTCCACTTAGCTGTTCACTAGATGGGGTTCAAACAATGCTAGTCAGATCTCACTCTGTTTGAAGAAAGGTGAAGGGAAAATTGCAGCTTTAATTGTGTGTTGATGACATAGTGATCACAGGAGTTTGGAAGACTGAAATACAGAAATTGAATAAATTCTTAGCCACTCAATTCGAGGTGAAAGGTCTAAGACCCTTACGTTATTTCCTTGGGATTGAAGTTGCCTACTCTCAAAAGGGCATCTTTATTTCCCAACGGAAATATGTACTAGATCTATTAGAGGATACATGCAAGTTAGGAGTGAAGCCAATTAACTCACCAATTGAACCTAACAATCAGCTGGGAGGCAGTCAAGGGGAGTTCTTGAAAGATGTGAAGAAATTCCAAAGACTTGTAGGGAGACTCTTATATTTGTCTTTAACTAGGCCTGATATTGCCTATGTAGTGGGTGTCCTTAGTCAGTTCATGCACAACCCTGGGACAACTCACTTTGAAGCTGTAGAGAGGATCCTTAGATACCTCAAGAAGTTTCTAGGAGCTGGTTTGTTGTTCTAGAAACATGGACATTTGAAGGTGGAAGTATATATTGATGCTTATTGGGCAGGGGCAGTCAATGACCGTAAGTCTACCGATAGGTATTGTACCTTTGTGGGAGGAAACGTGGTTACCTGGAGAAGTAAGAAGCAAAGTGTGGTGGCTAGATCCAGTGCTGAAGCAAAATACAGAGCTATGTCTCTCATGGAGTTGTTGAAATCATGTGGATAAGAAACTTATTAGGTGAACTAGGTTTTGCAGTTAACAACCCTATGTCCACTCTATTGTGACAATAAAACTGCTATCAACATTGCTGCTAATCCAGTCCTCCATGATAGGATGAAACACATTGAAGTAGACAAGCATTTTATTAGAGAAAAACTTGTGAGTGGAGAAGTGTGCACTCCATATGTCAGCTCAGAAAAACAACTTGCAAACATCTTCACCAAGGGTTTTCATCATGTGCGGCATAATGATTTGTGTGACAAGTTGGGCATGATTGACATCTATGCCCCAACTTGAGGGGGAGTGTTGAAATAGTTTACTTTATTTCTATTTTATTATTTTGTCTTGTTAGGGTTTGTTTGGTCTGTTTAAAGTCTTTTTTTATGGCTGTTATTGTACTTTATTTACAGCAGGGGCACAAGGGTCTTTTCCCTTTCTTTTTTGGTCGCCCTATAAATATTAATATATTCTGGCGCTGCCAGAACTGTTTTAGGTCGCCAATCTCTCTTCTTCTCTTCTACCTTCTCCCTTCTTCCTCTCTTCCCTTCTCTCTCTTATTTCCAGTCGTTTCTCTACTGTTAAGAAGAATCATAAGGAGAAGTAGTGGCACCATTTTCAGGGCCAATTGGTTTTGGCAACTCAATTCAGGCTGAAACTCAGGCTCTCCTACAAGGCTTGAAAGTTGCCGAGCAGTTTGGTGCAAGAGAACTGGAAATTGAAGGGGATTCACTATTATTTATAACTTGGGCAAAGCAAATCAACTCAGCACCTTGGAAATTCAGATTCATCTTCAGACAAATTGACTTTCTTTCAAAAAAATTTCAGTTCCAGCTTTGGTTCGGTTAAAAGGGTAGCAAATAGCTTGGAAGATACTCTAGCAAAGCAGGGGGCTGATAGACCCACTTTATTTTGGACAACTGTCATATGTTGTAACCTGGATCATTTAAAGATGACTTGCTATGTACTTCTACAGTAACTTTTTAAAATTAAATAAAGGAATTTACTTCCTGATAAAAAAAACTACAGTCTATTGGAAGTAAAATGGTATATTTCAAAATTTCATCTTTTTTTTTTTGAATTTATATGGAGCATTAGAAGTGTTTGTCATGTGTCATGAAACACTTTATTGTCATGCTAAATTTTCATCTAAAACATTAGAAGGTAGATGCATTTTTCTTCACTCCATGCCTTCGTTCCATGTGAAAACCTGATCATAACAACACTTTTTCTTCAGATTTCCTGATTTAGAGCTACCTATACTATTGATTTGAATGTTTCTTTGCAGTAAAAATTTCCAGATTTTCTAAAACTTCTTTGTTCTCCATTTTCCAAAGAAACATATTATTCCTATCTTATGATCCAGCTGGTTTTGCGCAGAAATTTAAGTCCCCAAAAGAAGGGGCATTATTAAGGACTGACATTCAAGTTGGAGATGATACAAGGTCATTTTTCTCTGTATCCCTATGGCAGAAACAAATGGGATCCATGGTATTTGCTGGTGATGTCATTTTGTTACAAAGTGAGATCTCATATGTCTTTTCAATTGCTCCAAATTATAACTATGGCAATTTTATTGTATGTTCAGGTTTTATATATACCCGGTTTTTATCACCTCAATGATGTTAGATTAAATCCTTGATACCATACTCTAGTTGGAGTTGTTTCTGCCATTGTCGAGATTGCTTTTGTAGTGGAGAGAATCAGAAGTATTAGAAAGTAGGGTTATTATGTATTTGTTTGGAATCAACAATGGAACTAGCTGAATGTTAATAGAGGAATGCAATTTTTCTCTGAAGAATGTTCTTTTTAATACGCTAGGAGTGATGGCTGTGGGTGATATAGTTCAGATTTGAACTGTTTGGGAAGAGAAAGCAGGCATCAAACCTTGAGGCTAATGCTTGTCTAAGCGATCCCAAATCAGCACCCAGGAATAAGCAAAACGACTCAAATTACTTTTCAAATAAATGATCAATATTTACTTTCTACTTTCAAATGCAAAAAGACTCTACACATGATCCCATTAGAACCCTTTATTTATAGAATCTATTTTCAATATCTCCTGATGAAACAAGAGGTTTTAAAAGGACTAAAATAGAGTATATGATGTGTAATTTTAATGATAATATGTATGTAAATCAGGATACATGTAAGATTGGAGACCAAGAGATAACTCAATGTGAACATTTCTGGTACCTTGGTTCAGTAATTCATAACAAGAAAGAGATTGAGGAGGATGTCAACCAAAGAATTAGAGTAGGATGGATAAAATGGAAAGGTGCATTTGGAGTTTTATGTGATAGGCGAATACCACTTAGATAAAAATGTAAATTCTATAAAATAGTTGTAAGGCCAGCAGCTATGCTGTATGGAGCAGAATGTTGGGCAATCAAGAATCAAAGTGTCTGGAAAATGAGTGTGGCAGAAATGCAAATGCTAAGCTGGATGAATGGAAAAACTAGAAAGGATAGGATCTGGAATGAAGTCATCTGTAGGAACTTAGGAGTAGCTCCAATAGGTGATAAAATGAGAGAAAGTAGACTAAGATGATTTAGTCACGTGCATGGAAGACCATCAGCAGCACCAGTTAGAAGTGATTTGTTACAAGTTGAAGGGGCTAGAAGGGCTAGGGGTAGACCAAAAAGGACATGGTAGAAGTAGTAAGAAATGATTTAAGCACTAATGATTTAACACTGGATATGACTTTAAATAGAATGGATTGGAAAAGCAGGATTCATGTAGCCGACCCCATATAGATGGGATAAGGTGTGGATGATGATGATTTCAATATATCCCGGTTCTATTTGGACTTGTTTTTTTTTGGATCAATAGGTTCTATTTGGACTTGAAAATTAATTATTAGTCCTAGTCTAATTCTGACTTTAACAGTAAATCAAACTTTCTAAATCTCCTAATCAAAACATAACTTGGAGACAAAGTAGTACCCTCCCCTAATATTATTCCTAATTACACCAAGAAATAAAATAAAATAAAACATAATATCCGAAAATCAGTTACTGATTATTTTTTCCCCCTTGAATGGAAAGGGGAAAATTCTATGGATATGTAGAAGAGTAGTACTATTATAAACAATATGGGAAGAGAGAAATGCTAGAATATTCAAGGAGAAGTTTGTATCAAAGTGTCTCATAGGGTGAAATCCTTAACTCTCTTTATCCCTTTCTTCTTGGATAATACAGAAGCTGGCAATAAGTTGCACCATCTTCTTTTGGAAGGAACATAGCTACAACAAATTGGAATCCTCTGCCAATAAGTATTGTAAAATTAACTTTTGATGGATGTAGCATGGAAAATCTAGGAAACTTAGGTATCGGCGCAATTGTCAAGGTGATGCATAGGTGACAGTGCACCCATGGAGGGTCATCTCACCCAAGTGCCTGGTAATTTATGTGGAAGGTTCCATACAATATTTTTATAATTTTTATTTTCAGATATATAATAAGAAAATAGACACTTTTTTGAAAAGTAAAATGAAATTTCATTGAACAAAATCTGGGCTCCCCTATTCAGGGTGTATTAGGGTACACTGTTTCTCCTAAGACCCCTTAATTATATTCCCAAAGGAAATACCCTTTGGCTTTGATTATGTGAAAGAACTATTTTACAAGGGTTTGTTAAATGTTGATGGACCCAGTAACAAGTCTGTTAAATATGAACATGCCCATTAAATTGGGCTCTCAAGAGATTAATGGGCTCAAGAATGATGCTATAAACAGGCCAGCACTTAACAATGGGCTTGCTACAACCGTGAATGGGTTCCACAATCTTTCACAGTGAATGAGACCCACTATGGGGTTAAATAGTGGGGATGACCCACTGTTGTGACAGTGGGTATGGCCCACTAGTCATCTTGTTTTAGTGGTGGATAAGATCCGACGAATATGAACTAGTCAAAGAATTGTTTATATGTATTCAACCGATAAAACAAAATCTCACAGGAGATAGGATTAGAAGCTCTTAGAGTCCTAATAAACTCTACAGAGAGATGATAGTAAAAGATATATGTATGCCTTAAAACAAAAGTCCCCATGCCCTTTGGCTCTTTGAGAGTTTATAAGGATTAAAATAGGGAAAGAAAGAAAAATGCCCAAAAATAAGATGTGTGGACAGGATAGAAGGGGAGAGACAAAAGAGGATATGCATTACCTGTATCACCCGCACCTTCTGTACTAAATGCAGAATTATCTATCTTCTTTCTTCTTTGTTCAACAGCATCAATCCTCTCACCCTCTATTTTCTCTTCTCTCTTCATATGTGGGATTGGTTATTTAACCCCTCCAAGAGCTACTTAATTTGAAATTTAAACTATTTCAAATTCACGTCATCTGAGCTGAAGTTAGTGGGCCAGCAGTCAAGTCTGGCTTTTTCCTTATTTTATTATATATATATATATATATATATATATTGGGGAAGCCAATAGCTTACAAGACTTCCCATTATTTTAAATATTAAACAGATTGCCCCCTCAAGATTTATCCCCTTATGTAGGAGATAAGGCTTGACTTACTCCTCCTTACATCTGTTATATGATTCAAATTTGAATCAGGCTCTTTGGATTATAAAATCCTGTTTTTACTCTTTTTTCTTCAAACAGATAAGACAAGTTTGGGGCGTTATCTCTTTTGAAGATGATTCAAGTAACTTGCTTTTCTTCTGTTCTTTCTTTCCTCCAATCTTTTTTCTCTCTTTTTCTTTTCTACAAGAAAAACATTATTTTGGCAGCACCAAATGGCCCTCCTTGGACTCAACGGTTCCACTTTGGGAGGGTTACATTTATGAGGATAGAAGATTTTTTTTCTTTAATAACTACAGAGGTCTCCTTTGGACCTTACGGTTCCATTTGGGAGAGTTCTCTTTCTTTTTTGCTTGGACCTTTTGGTTCCAATCCTCTATGTAAACATTGTGGAGTTTAAAGTTCTCTGTCATATATTCTTTTTTAATTGAATTAGATAATAGAACATCAAATTATTAAATTTAAATCTAGTTTAAATTGGGGTGTTAGCACATCATAAGTTTAAATTACCCCATTGTATAATTTCTCTGCAAACTGAACCCATATATTACAATGGTTATTAAGGCTGGTTAAAATTTTCTGCAAGAAATTCCTGAACTGAATATGCCATCAACCCAAAATCTGCCATAATGATTATCAGATCATCATGGAGTTCAAGACTGATTAAATCCTTAAAGTGAATTGGATGTCAGTTCTAAAACGTAAGTCTCCTGCAAGAAATTTCTGGACTGAATATATTATCAGTCCAAAATCTGTCATAGGAGACTGTTAAATTGAATACTAGTCCAACTAAATAAAGTGTTAGTCAAAACCTGTCATTAGCTGATTATGATATTAACATTCATTTGACAGCTTAAGTTACTTTCTTTAAGAACTAAAGGACCTGACCCGTAGATAGCTCTTTAAACAGAACTTAATTTCAAGAGAATAATGGAGCTGTCATTATGGAACATTTACGACCCTATCAGTGATATGAGGTTCAATGTTTTAAGCTTTGAACCCATCTAGTGTTTTAACTTGACAATAAGTATTAAGAAGAATACTACCTTAAAATTGGTTTACAGAAAATTTTTACCCTATGGTGGGTATTAAGGCTTCAACATTTGTTTTTTTTTTTTCTTTTTTTAGACATATATGGAGCTTAGTGCTCCCTTTATCATTTACTTTTGTTATTAATTAAGTATCTCTCTACTTTTTGCAGATGGAAAATGCAAGTTCAGCTTGGAATGTTTCTGGACATGTTAAATATGAACATGCTCTAAATGAGAATAGTCAACAAGTTAGTTTTGGGACAGAGTATTATAGGTCCATCCCAATTTCAAAATTGGGTATAAATGCCTCAAATGAATGCTTTATCAATTGGATACTAGTAGCGGAAGTACAATATGGTGACTTCGAGACTGACCACAACTCATGGGACAAGTAGAGTGTTGTTCAATAGCTGAAGCAAGATTTGAAGTTCTTACACTTGAGAAAGTTGACAATTCACCAAATACCCTAGTCAACGTAAAGATGAATTGAGAGATCATATCCAACATTGATGCACATGTTTGGAGATGGGGAGATAAATTTAGGTTTTTAGGTTTAGCTGACTTTTGCTCGAATTTGGAGTGGATTGAAGTAATTTTGAGAGACTATGAAAGAGAGCTTCAACAAGCTAGAATTTATGTGGCTGTTGTAATTTCTAGATATCCATATCATCGTAACCCAAATTGTCGAGCGAAGTTGGGTTGTTCAGCGAAAGTTGAACTTGAAGGTATTCCTTAGGATGCCTTGATCAAAGCCAAAGTATCAATCAAAGTGGCTTGGGTATTAAGGTTCTAACCAATGATCAAAACCTATTCGCCCAGGAAGAAGCTGTGACCAGATACAGATTAGGTAATCAACCTATTCGGTTGATATTGAGCAAAGAAATCCCAAGTTCACCACCACCATCACAATGAAGGGAGTTGGTGCGAGCACTCCACATTTCACAAAAGGCTCGCAAA